TTTGGCGCCCTAGGCCCGGGAGAGATGCTGATGAGTGCGGCGCTTGCTCGTGCGCATAATCCCCAAAAACGGGCAGAGTTATCTTTGCGCGCCGGGACGTGAGCGCTCGCTTCACGATCAACCGGACGCTGCCTGGGACGTGAGCGCTCGCATCACGATCGGTACCAGACGCTGCGGTGGAGTATCTTTAAGCGCCGGGACGTGAGCGCTCGCATCACGATCAACCGGACGCTGCCTGGGACGTGAGCGCTCGCATCACGATCGATACCAGACGCTGCGGTGGAGTATCTTTAAGCGCCGGGACGTGAGCGCTCGCATCACGATCAACCGGACGCTGCCTGGGACGTGAGCGCTCGCATCACGATCGATACCAGACGCTGTAGCAGAGTTATCTTTGAGCGCCGGGACGTGAGCGCTCGCATCACGATCAACCGGACGCTGTCTGGGACGTGAGCGCTCGCATCACGATCGGTACCAGACGCTGCAGTGGAGTTATCTTTAAGCGCCGGGACGTGAGCGCTCGCATCACGATCAACCGGACGCTGCAACAGGGTTATCTTTGAAGAAGTGCGTGCCGCCACCAGAATCTTGTTGGTTCACTTACTTTGCTTTGTATTGCTTTGCTGGGAGCTTACGAGGAAGCCAGTAGCCGTTGTGCAGCCAGGATAGCGGACGCGTCTGGCCTGATGTAGGTGGAGAAAGCCGAAGAGGACCAGCGCCCCAGCTGTTGCAGAGAGGTGTGGGGGAGCCCCAGCGAGGCCGCGCGCGTGGCGGCGCCTATCCTGAAGGAGTGAGCTGTGTAGAGCTGGGGAGACAATTTACAGAGGAGCAGTAGGGATCTTAGTCGAGCTCTGAACCAGGTTGCTGTCATGGGAAGAATGTCTGGAGTGAGAAATAGAGGTCCGTTAAGATCTCCTTTTTGCAGCGGAGGCGAGTGTAACGCATAAAGGATTTGTAGGGGCAGAGAGATGTGTCCGAGCGAGCTATTACTATATTGCAGGCTCCTTTGATTTTTGAATGTTTGAGACGGAGGTTGAAATGGTCAGGGGACATGTTGGGTGAAAAAGAGCGACCTTTGTGTAATGCTTCCACTACGTCGAGATTATCACACATGACAGAGATCCTCTTTCTCTGCCACGTGTGATTCCACAGCGCGCAGGCCACGACCACTGGGAATATCACGTGTAGGGCAGAGGAGATGCTCCGGTGGAAAGTAGCGGCCACGCTCGGCAAACCAATGGTCCTGGAAGAATCCCCCAAAACCCACGGAAGGGGCAGCGTCCGTGTAGAAGCGGAGACCTGTAGGGGCAGAGACATATCGGAGAGGGCCATTGATGATGCAGGCGCCCTTACGCTTAGAATCTTGGGTTGGAGAGTAGATAATCAGGATAGTAGGATGGTCGGGAAAGCCGTGTCTCGGACCGCATGAAGGATGAGTGAGCAATGGTGAGACGCTTATGCAGAGAAGCCACGGAAGGAGAGCAGGAAGATGCCGCGAGGAGGGCAGACATGTACTTGGAAGATGAGCCGGAGTTCAGCGCCGCTGCAGGATGGGCAGCGTGATGGGGAGCCTGCGATCAGAAGAGTGAAGAATACAGGTATGGATGCCTTTGATTAGGAGTCCGATTGACGGCTCAGCGCAGCTACTTGGCCAGCTGCATCTGATAGATCAGAAGATTAGGTGGAGAGATGAAGCATGACCGCCGAAGCGACCCTGGGAGCATAGGTGCGAGTCCAGCGCAGCGCGGCATACTCAGCCGGGCTGCATCCATTAGAAGCAGGATAAGCTTCTGAGAGAGTGGGTTGCAGCAGTAGCAGTAGCAGCAGCAGCAGTAACCTCAGATAATAACAGCAATAGTCCTGTATCAAGCCGCGGCAGCAGCAGTAGCAGCAGCAGCAGCGGCAGCAGCGTCCTTAGAAATAACAGTAATAATTCTGTATCTAAGCCACCGCAGTAGAATGTTGTTGTAGCTGTTCAGTGTTTCAGTAAAAGAGATGCAAGTGAAGAGAGATGGCAAAGTAAATGAAGCAGCAGCAGCAGTAGTAGCAGCAGTAGCCGTATGAAGCAGCAGCAGTAGCAGTAGCAGTATGAAGCAGCAGCAGTATGAAGCAGCAGCAGCAGTAGCAGCAGCAGCAGATGCAGCATCCGTAGATAATAACAGCAATAAACCTGTATCAAAGCCAGAGCAGTAGAATATTGTTGTAGCTGTTTAGTGTTTCAGTAAAAGAGATGCGAAGTGAAGAGAGATGTCAAAGTACATGAAGCAGCAGCAGCACGGCAGCAGATGCAGTATGAAGCTGCAGCGGCAGCAGTAGCAGCAGTAACGGTAGCAGCATGAAGCAGCAGAAGCAGCATTAGCAGGAGCAGCAGTAGCAGTATGAAGCAGCAGCAGCAGCAGCAGCGGTTGCAGCATCCGTAGATAATAACAGCAATAATCCTGTATCAAAGCCAGAGCAGTAGAATATTGTTGTAGCTGTTTAGTGTTTCAGTAAAAGAGATGCGAAGTGAAGAGAGGTGTCAAAGTAAAAGAAGCAGCAGCAGCATGGCAGCAGTAGCAGTATGAAGCAGCAGCGGCAGCAATAGCAGCATTAGCGGCAGCAGTAGCAGCAGTAGCGGTAGCAGTATGAAGCAGCAGAAGCAGCATTAGCAGGAGCAGTAGCACCACAATGCGATTCATACGAACAGCAGACGTGTCACGCCAGCGTGCGCCGCTTGTCTCCGTGAGCCAGGTTACGTACGTGTCTGAAAGAGCCGAGCCGTAGAGACAGGTGCAGCCTGGGAGCCTGCGGAGCGGCAGCGGCAGGAACAGCAGCAGCGGCACATGTAGTAGTAGGAGCAGCAGGAGCAGGCAGCAGGGACAGGCAGCAGCAGGAGCGGCAGCAGGAACAGGCAGCAGCGGGAACAGGCAGCAGCGGGATCAGGCATCAGTAGGAAACGGCAGCAGGGACCGCAGCAGCGGCGGTCAGAGAACCATGCCCATGGTTGTTTAAGAGCCTGAGGAAATAAATCAACCCGAATCCGAAACATTCCCATGCGAATAACAGATGTCCCCTGGAGCCATCTTGCTGCTTTGGTTATGGCAGATACGCATGAACGATCACTTTTCCATGCGTTCATTAGCTCCAACTCCACTTCAAACCCATTGCATATTCACATTGGGCCCTTTTTCTTTCTGCTGCACTTTCAAAATGCAACAACTGCAGTTTAGTTACCCAATTTAATACTAGTGACCTAGCTATTTAAATGCATGGCCCCTCCTTCCTCCTGCAGATAGACGAATTTAAATACATCCATTTAACAATAGTGACCTGCGAGTAATGAGATTAATGCTGTAAAGATGGCGCCGTGGCAAGAGTTCTGGTGTGTGCCGTCTGGAGCACAATGGGGTAGTCTTTGCACATATTTCCAACGTGGTTTTACTGCAAGTGGCAGAACATGAATCTGAATTATGCACATTGCTCCTCTTATATCCCTCAGACAATAGAGATTGATGCCATTTAATATGCATTGCCCCTCAGTTAGCTCAAACACGTGTGAAAACGGAGCCTGCAGACCAAGCACGGGGCGAAAACTGACGCCTGCAGTCAAGTGCGTAGGGCAAAAACCAGCCGCCTGCAGCCTAGACCCCGGGATTAATCCGTCCGCGGTCGGCACACTCACTGTACTCACATGCCAGGAGACTTGGGAAAGCAACGGGACAACGCGGCACCGCCAATCGGAGGCAGGGACATGCACGGCACCGCCAGACCGTCTGCGCGCGGCAGCAGACCACGAGGAACGAGCAGCACAGAACCTGCAGAGGGGCCCCGCGGAGGGGCCCCGCGGATCAGCCCACAGAGGAGGAAAGCAGTGGAGACACGCGAACCATAGCAGGTGCAGGGACGCGGAGGAGGAGCAGACCACGAGCAGCCAGACTGAGGACAGCCGGGCCACGCGCACGAGCAACACGTGAGCAGAAGCGACCCCTCCAGAACAACGCATGCATTTGCGAACAGGTGCGTTTAGCGACATGCACCTTGCAGCCTTCAGAAGTTTGCAGACTTAAGAAGGCCGGGAAAGTGGGCGTCTCCGGCTTTTAACTTGCTGTCCTGGTGGTTATTGGTGGATTAGATGTGGGCGTTTTGCTGGTGTAATGAGTAGAGGATGAGCAGGCTTGTAGATCTGGCAGCAGTGGCCGGGTCTACCACAGTGAACTTTCGCGAAGAGCTTCATTACAATGTAACAAGTACAGGGATTTCATGTTTTTCTAGTAGTGCTAGTAGTAGTAGCAGCAGCAGCAGTAGTAGTAGTAGTGGTCTACTCCGAGCTAGGATTAAAGAAAAAAATACTAGTGGTGGTAGCAGTAGTAGCAGTAATAGAAGTAGCAGCAGTAGTAGCAGTAGTAGTAGTACAAGCAGCAGCAGTAGTAGTAGAAGCAGAAGTAGTCAAAGAAGCAGCAGCACTAGTAGTCGCAGTAGCAGTAGTAGTGGTACAAGCAGCAGCAGTAGTACTAGTCGCAGTAGCAGTAGTAGTGGTACAAGCAGCAGCAGTAGTAGTCGAAGAAGCAGCAGCAATCGTAGAAGCAGCAGCACTAGTAGGAGCAGCCGTTGTAGTAATATTCTTTTCATTTTTACTCATGTGTTTTGGCAACGTCTACATTTGAGCCCTTCTTTAACAGTTCTGTCCTATAATTCTCATCTGTAATAACTAACAACACACACAGAAACCACACATTGCCTTGTCATTAAAATGCTCATAAACTCTCCATTATCTGAAATATCTGGACATAGGCTAAAGTTAAAACCGCGAGACATTCTTCAGACCTCCTCGGGCAAGAACTTCCTCTGTAATGAAAACAAAGTATAATCCTGAGGAAGCCAGGGCCGTTTCCTGCCACTACTAATGTGTCTTCCTGTGATAAGAAAGCACCTCCCCACTCCCTCTTTGCCCTTGTGCCATTGTGCAGCGCATATCTCCCCCCGACACTCAAGCTGGATACTGGACCTACAGCTCAGTCAGGATGGACCCCCGTCTCCCCCGATGGCTGCTGCTGGTCACTGGACTACTGCACTGTAAGGACCTGCCTACACTTCGATGGTGGTTACATGTCTAAATATTATGTCTAAATTGTACCACTTTGGGTTTTTTCTAAGGGAACGGTGCGATGGTGCAAACAAGTAAGTGAGTTTTTATACTGTCATAATCTCAAAGGATGGTAAAAGTTAGTACCACATTCATCAAGAAGTTACCTTTTCTTTTAAAAATGCCATTGGTTTAAGATATGTGTCTAGAATAATATTTTTTCTTTAACTTAAATTAAGAAGAAAACACACATAACAAAAAAAAACTTCATTTACTTTCAATTAAATGTAAAACTTCAGATTTCTTGAAATGATTGTCTCAAAAACAAATTATTTCAATGTTTATTTATATAGTTATTATGTCTAAATTATATAGTTATTTCTTTGATTTCAGAATCTGTAGGAGGTATTTTAATCATGTTAGCTTTGTAATGCTTATAAAATCATTATTTGTGTTTTAAATACCAGTAGTTGAATAATAATAGCAATGAAACACCCCCTCATTGTTTTCCTCCAGGTAAAGATTAAATATATGTTTCATTTGTTAATTTGTTTCAACTAGCACCTCATTTTCGTTATTATTAAAGCACTTTTTAGGACTTAATATCCTTGAAATTGTATTAGCTCTCCTAGAAAGATCAAACTAAAGATGGCATTTTTCAAAACATTCTCAGACAAATTGTGATGGATAAAATAATTCTAGTGTAGTGTAAATGGGTTTTTTTAACAGTGAAAAGATAATTTGTATATATAAATATACATATGTTGTTCATCAGCATACACCATAGACAGCGTGGGCCTGCGCCTCCTCCCTGGCAGCGAGGTGGAGAGTGGCACTAACGTCACGCTGCGGTGCGAGGTCACCATCAGCCAAGACACGGCCACAGAGCCCACCTACCACTTCCACTTCACCAAGAACGACCAGGTGATCAGCTCCATGGAAACCCGTGAGGACTGGGCCACTTACGCCCTGCACCCGGCCAGAGCGGCGGACTCTGCGAGCTACGGGTGCCATGTCAGCGTCAAGGAGAAGAGCAAAACCAGCCTGGTGCAGAGCCTGACCGTCACAGGTGCGGGGAAGGGCCATACCAGGGTTTTCCAATTTCCTTGTGTTGTTGTTTAGCAACCTGCCGATCAAAATAAGAGAACTTGTAATTCTCGTTGAACATGAAAGTAATATATCTGGACTTCACTGGAGGTAATTTTCACTCCAAATATATATAGCTTGGTGAACAATTAATGAATTAAAATGCTGATCACAGTAAAATTGTTTATTGATTTGGGACATTTGAAAAAAAAAAAAACATTAAACTCTTCACATAGGATCTGGTCTGCTTTCTCACAGTCAAAGCAGTCAAAGCACTGCTAAGTACTTGTATCTTACAGTACTCGTTTGCAGTACAAACAGAAGATAGGACTCACTGGGTTTTGAGCAGGGGATTAGGAATTGAAAAAACTGGACAATACATTTGAGCGATTAACAGTAAGTTAAGTTTACTTTCAGAATTTAAGTCAGTAAGGAAGTAAGTAATTCTTATTTATATAGCGCCTTTCACAGACCAGCATGACAAAGCGGTTTACAATTGTGGGCGATTGTCTCACTCCACACAGGGAGCGGGGTCGCCAGTACAGGAGGCCCATGCCAGAAATATTTTACATTTATGAAAAACATTTATGGTTTTCATTATATTTTGAATGTTAGTCATTTGAAACATATAAACTTATTTGCATTATAATGATGAAATATGAAGTGCAAGGGTTTTAATGTGTACGACCTATCTTTATAGTCCTTTTAAATGACCAAATCTGTTTTAATTCTCAGACTGACTTGATCGATGGTATAGGTCTTTAACGTGCGTGTAATCTGAAAATCCAAAACATGCTCCTGATCAGCCATTCAGCTAACATATGTTATCAGGTTTTAAAGCTCCAAAAAGTCCAATTTGACCACTACATGTTTTCAATGTGATAGAAAACTGAGTGTTGTGTGTCGTATTGTTCTATTTTTATAAATGAAAGAATATACAGTAATACATACTTCCGCTCACACATACATGCAGAAAACAACATGAAAGGTCAACAGAAAAAAAACAAATACAACATATATTTCTAGTAACAATTCACATACACAAAACGAGTTGCAACATCATAAACTATAATCAGAAATTCCTCGTTTTTTCTGTCAGTCACAAATTGACTTTTTGGGACACAACATGATTGGCTGAGGGTGATGGGACTAAACATGATTGGCTGAGGGTGATGTGATGAGACAGAAGATGTGAAAACAAGTGATAGATCGACACTGTTTTGAGAAATATAAATTGGGTGGATTTTTGTTACAAGGTTCTATGTTTTGTGTTTTGAAAGGTACCCCATCTTTAAGGTTCACAAGAATCATAGCCAGCACAATTCTGGTGGCATTCATGTGTACACTTTAAAGCCAAAATACCCTTTAATCAACAGACTTTTTGTGTGCATACCAGGCCTACAGAAGCCCATCCTGCATCTGAACAAGACCATAGTCTATGAGAGTGAGGAAGTGGTGGCCCGCTGCAGTGCTCCCTCAGAGAAAGGATCCTTAATCTTCTTCTTCCACCAAATGTTTGACACTGGGGGCCCACAGGAGGTCAAACGGGCCATGTCCAATGGGAACAGTCTGGAGACTCTACTGGTCCTCAGGCACATCGGGGACATGCATCTCTATTGCGACTACGAGCTCCCCCTGGTGGGAAGGTCAAACCACAGCAACCAGGTCTATGTCAATGTCAGAGGTAAGGCTTTAAAATGAATGAAATGTGCGCTTATGAGCTGATGGGAATACCACAGGGGACTGTGCTTAGTCCCTTCCTCCTCACACTTGACCGATAAATCTGAGACCAATATTTAAAAATAATTTGCTGACATAGCTATTGTTGCTGACCCATTATACTGAAAATACCAAGGAAATGATCGTTGACTCTGGCAGGAAACACATTAGCATTCACAAAGTAATGGACAGGACATTGAGGTGGTTCATACCTATAAATATCTGGGAATTTACCTTGCTCATGAACTGGATGTGATCAGTGCTCTAGATCTTTATCAGTAGCTCTCCAGTCCCTATTCATTCTGAATACAAAGCAAATATACAATACGAAACCAATTATTCAAAACTCCTTGAAAGTTTGGACTTTGTTCTTGGCAGTTTACAAGGCACCTAATATGTGAGAATTACACTTTTAGACCTGGGATGATAATTTTTTTTGATAGATGATTTTAGAGGTACTTGGCTTCTTTTAAACAAAGTAGAACCAAATAAAATATATATTGTAAATCTTATAAACATTTTACAGCTGCGTCATCGCCTAATTAGAAACCCTTTGTATAATCAGCTCCCCAGATAGCATATTATCTGTGAAATATTTTACTAAAAACTACATATTTTTAATGTGAGGCATAGAGTTCTTCATCTCATATTCAGTAACCAATAGCAAGAGGAACTGAGTTTTGAAATTACAGCCTATGTTAAATGTTTTACATAAATCAGACAAACCTAATGCATTTGATATTCGGATCAAAAAACTTGGAAACAAGCTCCATGAATGTTTTAAAGAACAAAAAAAGCCATCCATCCATTTTCTTCCCCTTAATCCATTTCTGAGTTGGGGGGGGTGGCAGTCAGGGCTGCACTCAGTACATATAGCACCAGCCTCTCACTGATCCTCCTACAGATGGTGAGACCAGAGGAGCCTTGATCTTTTAGCAGGAGCTTCAGGCAAAGTGGGGTTAAGTGTCTTGCCCAAGGACACAGCGACAGCAGACATCAGTGGGAGTCGTGAAGTAGGTCTTGTGATGGGTTCGAATCCACGACCTACAGGCCCAAAGACCAATGCTCTCACAACTGAGCCACTGTCGCCCCCTGAAAGCCTGTATTCATTCATATGGCATCCAGTCAGTAGCATGTTGGTACTAGAGTGCACTAGAGTGATGTAATTTGAAGTGTGGGGGAGTGGGGTCTGGGAAAGCTGTTATGAAGGACTACAGGTAGGGGAAATAATGCCCAATGATTTACAATCTCAAGGTTGTGTATGCATATGATAATTTTCAACATTTTCAATAATTATTTGCAATAAAAGAAATGGAGAAGGAGGCACTTTGAAAACTGTGTTTTTTATAATAATGAACCGACGCGTTTCTACAAAAGTCTTTGTCAGGGCAGTGAATTATTTTCTATAATTAATTCAAGTCGTCTCTTTGGTGGCAGTTACAGACAAACACTATTTTCACAGCTCAGACTTATTTTGCCATAGTCTTTCTACAATATTTGAACATGAATTAATACATATTTTTTTGTTGCCATTATTAGTTTTCTGCCTCTTATTTGGTCATTTTGAAAAGGGCAGCCACATTTCAAGCTAACAGACAGAAAGCAGGTTGTGTGTAGCAGTGTGTGATCTGAAGTTAGACAACAAATAAGGTTCAGCACAATAGTTTATTCCATGCCTCTTATCAACCAGGGGCCGTATGCCTAAAGATTCTGAGAGTCTTGAACTTGAACTTTTATTATTGAACTTTTTATTATCTCTTTTTGACTGTTGCACTGAGCCAAAGCAATTTCCTAGTCTGTGACCTCCTGTTACTTACGTGGCAATAAAAATGATTCTGATTCTGATTCTGAAATGCGAGGCCCTCCCCTTACACTTTTTTCCCAGATCTGAGGAAAGTTTTGATGTTATAATCTTTGACATGAATTCAGCACCGCCTCGCTCCAATGCAGCGTCGGGCGCGCGCACGCACTCACACAGGCACACACACAGACACAGTGTTACGGCGCTTGGTATTGCGAAATCGGTCGCAGTCTCTTGCAGCTGACATGGCTCTTTCGCGTTGTGGCAAAATGATATAGCAACCCACACACTCTGATAACACAACACACAACATACGCTCCTTCTCTTCCTCCTCCTCCTCCACACACTGACAACAACGCGTTTATGCCCAAAATCCCAAATTTGTGTGGGCACAAAAGCTGGGCATGCGCTGTTTGTTAATGCTTTTACAATTTGTTTTTGATGTGTATGTAATGGTCGATGCTTTGAATTTGTGTTACCAACAACGCCACCCAGTAAGTGGGCACTGGGACTCGTTAAAGTCAGTCAAATATGAGAAAGCACACAGGGTTCGTGGACTGATGTGGACAGGAGGTCCAACACAGGAGTAATACAAAAATACAATTAATTTTGTACAGTTTAAGAAGACAGTTTCTGTCTTCCATTCAAAGACGTCGGCATCCACTCCATTCTCACTGTAAACTCAAGTGTAAATTATTTTTGATTGGCCACTTGAAAGCCATCACTTCACACAGCAGCAGTCCCCTAGAGCACAGCACATTCAAGGCCCAAGTGCCTCCAACATGGACCCACGCGCCTCCGTGGCTCAACACTGAGGAGCGTCCGATGGGTGTGGGCTCGTACTCGTAGCGCTGGTATCGCCCGCGATGCAGCAGTGAAGATGGCCTGTTTCTCCAGGTCCCAGAAGGAGAGACTCGCTCAGAACTGTAATAACTAAATTTGGTATTAATTATAAAGAATAACCCATATGAGTACTGCAGTATGCCCACATGTAGCACTTTAAGGAAACCGCACACAAGTTAGTAGGAGCCGCAGAAGCCCGAGACGCGCGCACACACGAGCCTAGACAAAATAGTAAATTTATAAAAGGTGACTAAGCATTATATTTATTTAAAGTGCTTACCAGTACTACAAGGGAATTGCGTATGCTGGCAAGAGTGCCTTCCCGCGGCTCTAGCGAGAACAAAGTATTATACAAAAACTCCAGCCCAAGAGATGTTTAGAAAGCAGACACTTTCTAAACTCAGCAGGACGCTTCACAAGAGGAGGGGTTGCGCAATAGCCGCTCTGCACCCACTCCGCAGTTGAACCGGGATAGCAGACGATCTAGAAGAAAGTAAATTAAAATAAAATTGGAAATAAGCGTGGATCCAGAGTACATGTGCTTCGGACGCCACCAGCGAGCAGCGTCCCGACTTCAGAGGCGAGGCAAACGGGAGTACACGGGAGATGGTTGTCCTTAAATGACGCCAGCCAGAGTGCTGATAGAAGCACTCACAAACAGGTGTACCACTACATTCATATTACCTATACATTGGTAATAGCAGCTCTCACACACCTGTGTCTCGCTTCTCCTCTTCTGCTCACACCGAAGTCTCTGCTCCTCCTCCTCCGCTCACACAGAAGTCTCTCCTCCTCACACGCCTGTCTGCTCCTCCTCTTCACACAGAAGACGCGAGTGTCCATCTCTCTAGTAATTACTATAAACTAGTAATACCCTATCCAGTTATTATTATAGATCCATGCAAATGAATGGTTTGTGCTCAGTAGCGCATGTGCCGGCACGGACGCTGACATATTAGCGGAACTCGCCATATAACTCGCTATATTTGGGCATCTTCTGGTCCTCCCGGTTGCACAGAGGGGCTCGGCCGCGCTCTGACAAATCAGAGCTGCTGATCAGAGCAGAGCTAGAGCGGAGCTACAGCGGAGCTAGAGCAGGAGCCAGACGAGCAGAGTTTGTGGCAGTAAAGTGTGGATTTAAAGATAACCAATGGATTTAAGAAGAAAAAAAGTTCAGGATGACAAGGGACACTAAAATCCCCACAAAATCCGACCTTCATGAAAGCTGTAGGTACTCTGTCAGCTGAGGTCGAACTGTTTTTAGTTTACATTGAGTTCTATGGGTTCTTCAGCTCCAAGCTAGTAATACCTTATCCAGTTATTATAATAGATCCATGATCCATCCTGACGGCTCTGTAAAGAGCGAGACACTGAGCATAATGACATTGTCTACCACACAGCTGTCAGGTGGCTCAGCCTGGGTAAAATGTTAAAAAGAGTTTGGGACCTGAAAGAAGAGATTGTAGAGTTTTGTGAAAGTAAAGGCAAAGATTTCCCAGAGCTGTTAGATGAGGATTGGATGACAGATTTGATGTAACAGCACTGATTGATGATCTGAACCCAAAACTGCAAGGAAAGGGCCTTTTTGTTCTTGAAATGTATAGCCTGGTGACAGCTTTCTTGAGTAAGATGACATTTCTCTCAAGTCAACTGGAGAACAACTCCCTCACTCATATGCAAACACTGAAAGGAGTCACACCATCAGCAGATCACCGCCGCAGGTACTCATCCATGTTAGCAGCATTGCATGGTGAGTTTTCAAGACGTTTTGAAGATCTCAGAACTATTGAAGATGATTTCCTCCCCCTTTACCTGCAGTGTAGATAATGCACCCAGTGATGTTCAGATGGAACTGATTGACGTGCAGTCTGATGCAGTATTGGCAGAGCGCTTTTAACTCTAAACCTCTTCTAGATTTCTACTCCTCTCTTATGGAGGAGAACTTTCCAAACATGAGGAGACATGCTCAGAAGATGTTGGTTCTGTTTGGTTCTACGTACATATGGGAACAAACATTTTCAATTATGAAGTTTACAAAATCCAGGTATAGATCCTCTCTCACTGATGAGCATTTGTCAGCTTTGCTTCGCATCTCCACCTCAGACATTCAGCCTGACTATGATGCACTTGTTTAAGCCCAGCAGAGACAAGATTTCTCTCTCTGAGAATAAATAACTTAAACACCACATCCACCTTATGTGACAGATTACAAAAGGAGGCATGCAAAGTAAGTGGCAGTGAACTGGGACACTTGGAATCCTTTTTCTCAAAATCACCGTTCCATGATGTCTAATATCAATTCAATATGATGTTTTTTGCTTGGTCAATGTTTTGAGCACAAAAAAACAATATTGTGGTTTCCTTATGGCACATTCACTGAAAATGTAGACTAATAAAAGTCTATATGTCACAAATGTTTGACATATGTATTTTTGTTTAATATTACTTTAAAACATCTAATCGAATAAACTACATTTACCTAAATTGTCTGCCACTGATGTAACTATAAGTATATATAAGAAACATAATTACAACTAATATTATGTATATTTGAGTTCAAATTTTTGACCCGGCCATTCACAACATTTTCGGTTTCTCATGCGGCCCCCTGTTAATAAATAATTGCCCACCCCTGGTCTAAAAGTTAGAGAAAACACACTGTGATAATGGGCAAAATAAGGACCCTCAAATGGACAAACTCAATCATGGAATCTAAGCTTAGGACTGTGTCATAGTATATAATATTCCGCACAAAAGATGTAAAATGAATGCTGTGAATAGTTAGTTATACTTTTAAATCATCTTACAGAATGTGTGAAAACTTGCACAGTATTAACACAGTGATAGCTACATTTATTTGCTTATATTAATTGCCATGCTGGTTATTTTTCAACCATTTCTACTCACTTAGGTGTAACGAGGGTAAAATGGCACAGCTGTGATTGCTGACCAGTCTATAAGAAGCCGTGTTGGTTGACTTTCAAATATACCACAAACAAGTGAGAAGCAATGGAGAATAAACAAAAGAGGAAACCCAACAGGACAGAGCAACAGTGTTTGCTTCTGAATCAATTGGTCAATTTTTTTTGAGAGTTAAATTTGGCCCACTGTCATGCATTGTTAGTAGAATATTGCCATTTTGTCCTCTTAAGTCGCTAAAAGTCCTCTCTACTCTTCAGAGAGATCTCACCTTAGGACCTCTCTTAAGAGCTAGGATTCTTCAGGAATAGCTTTTTTCTTAACTAGGATCTACTCTTCACTTTTAGGGGAAATTCTAAGAGTATGTCAAGATTCTAAGAATATTCTTAGAATTCGCCCACTTGGAGCAACTCAACACGAAGAAACTTTTGGAATACAGCCCCAGGTGCTACGATGCAAGCTCCTACACACACGCTTGGGTTTGTAGTCACATGCAAGGTGTCCAATAAAAGTTGGTGAACCATCAGTTTGAGAGACCATCTTATTCAACCGGGGATGCTACAATATTATTCCACATTCTAAAACATGAAATGACAAAGTAAATAGTCTCAATAAAGAAATGCATGACATGTCTCCTTTAAATTCTGTGTTAAGGTTTCACAGAGCTAAAACAAAAGAAGTCTCTGTAGTGACAACTGACTGTGTTCCATGTTGCAGGCATGTACATCAATCCCATCATGAACGTGGTGCCCTCAACTGAAGTGTACGAGGGCGAGCTCCTGGAGGTGGTGTGCAGAGTGGTGGGAAGGCTCGAAGATGTGGAAGTGTTTCTGATCAAAGACCGGAAGATCTTGAAGAGAGCCCCGGTGAGCCTCAACCACAGGTTTCGGGTCCAGGAGGGAGACTCTGGAGAGCTGGTGTGCAAGGCCGAGTGGAAAACGCTGCAGAAGGAGACCTACAAAGAGATCACTGTCAGAGGTCAGCAGCGTGTTCACCCTGTCTAAATTATAATCGCTTTGTCTCATTCGAGGAAAAAATAAAGTTAGCAAAAGATCACTTGTTCCTTTGAGAAAATGTGATTGGATGATGAGTAGGAAATATGTAGATGACAGATATTACTGCTTCTGTCTGTTTCCAGAACTGATTTCAAAGCCGCGCCTCACAGTGGAACCTCTGGAATTATTTGAAGGCGATCAACTCAGGATCATCTGCTCAGTCTCCATCTACGTTCCTGACCGGATACAGAACAACACGCTCAAATATTCCATCTACAAAGACCACAAAGAGGTTCACAAAGGACGGGTTTATAACACGTTGGCCAAAGCCTCAAAGAACGGCAACTACACCTGCAAAGTCCAAGCCGCGTCCTCTGGGAGGAGCTTCGTCAAGGAGAGCAAGACTGTGGTTGTAGATGCCAAGGGTGAGCTCCCTGCAGACTCGCTACCACATTTGAACCATATCATTGATTGCTTTCCCTTTGTAATAACCCAATCAGTTCTGTTTTTAGGTCAGGGGTGTCAAACCGGTAGTCAAAGGGCCAGTGTGACTACAGGCTTTAATTCCAACTGAGCAGGATCAAACATGACTTCACCCGTTTCCTGAGTCCAGTCATAATCCTGTAGACCTAAGGAAATGGGAGGAGTCTGGTGTGTTCCTGCTTCGTTGGAATTAGATGGGCACCCCTGTTTTAGAAGGATTCCTGTTGAGAAATTCTTTCAGGTTTCTCTGACAATCGTAGGATAGCAGGAGTATCAAGTATGGAGAACCAATCAAAAGATACTGAATGAACTGATGATTTCCTGAAGAGAGTAGAATGTTATTGTTTCCATTTGAATTTAGGCAAAAAATACATAAGCTGTAAAATTAGTTCATTATGTAATCAAGAAGAATATTTGTAGATTTGTGTGGGCCTGCTGCAGTGTCTGAGGCCTTTAATTTTGGAAATACTGGGTTGAAGGATCACTTTTCTCTTCTTTTTTGTGGGAAATTATATTTTATTTTTCTTCTCTGGAGCCGATAGTGATTGATAACTGATTAGTTGTCCCATAAGACCATTAAATCGGGAACAGCTCCATAGAGACTAGTTGTAACTCTAAGTTGTTTGATTGAAAATCTTTTTTTTAACACAATTATCCGTCCTTCTGCAGTCATTTTTTCTTGTCATAAACTGCTGCTTCATGATATGATTCAATCTGAGAACCACCGTTTATCATTACTTTGGATAGAACACTTTTTTAGTATTTTCATGACATGATATACATATCAACAGATGTATATTTATTAAATGGACCTAAAAAAAATCGAATGATTCGGCTCTGCGCATATCTCATGATACATTAAATGAAAAACATATATGCAAAACAGTTGATTTAGATCCATCCACATTCATATCAGAAACTTCTAGCACAACCATGTAACTCCATCCCTTCAGTCTAAAAGTTCCTGTCTCAATCCTGTAAAAGTGTGATATCATTGTACCACACAAACACAAAAGTAGGATCATAGATGAGTCAAGGCGATTTCTCAGCTGAAATTACATTATTTCTATGTTTGTGATGGTATGTTACCTGTAATACTTCATATTTCACACAAAGTATTCCTGAACAGCATGCATAACTAGTTGTTGCACATTGCTGCATGTGTCCGAACTTGTTTCTGATGTCCCTTTTGTTTGTTTCAGTTCCTGTGTCCAAGCCCAGCATGAGGGTAGTGGGTGGGACGCTGGTTCTAGGAAAGCCCTTCCAGATCATTTGCCAAAGTGACATCGGATCTCTGCCCATCGCCTACACACTCAACATGCCAAAAAAACTCCCAGAGGTCAAAGTCATCGCCGCACATGGAGAAGTGGCCATTTTTAACGTCACTGTCACAAAGACGGCAGAACTGAGTAACTTCCTCTGCCAAGCCAATAACCATCAGAAGATCCCGGCAGAGTACATCACGGCTCAACAGCTGTTGGCCGACACCAGAATCATTGGTACGCCTTCACAGCTATAAGACTTAAAAGCTCTACATTCATTCAATAAAGTAGGCATGGATACTATCCACTACGATATAGTATCTAATTGAAAATAATAGAGGCTTTATATTATAATATTAAAGGCTTTTTGCTTTTTAGTCAGTGCTCCATCCCATTTGAAAAACCATAAATTATAAGTGCACTCCATTCATTAAAGATTCAATGTTGAAAAGTCTCATGTCTCTGTTTGCAATGAGTGGATCTCTGAGTAAAATTATCTAAATATATAAAATAAAAAATTATAATGTAGATATACATTTTTAGATATTTTATTAAATAAATATCTATTTGGGATTATTTTTAGCACACCCATCCATCCATCTTTTCCCCTTAATCCAATTCTTGGTTGGGGGGGGGCAGGGCAATCAGGGCTTCACCCAATTCACATAGCACCAGCCCCTGACTGATCCTCCTGCAGGTGGTGAGTCCACAGGTGTCTTGATCTTTCAGTTCAGGCAAAGTGGAGTTAAGTGTCTTCACCAAGGCAACAACAACAGCAGAAGGAGTCGGTGAAGAAGGTCTCGAGATGGGATTGAGCCCACGACCTTCAGGCTGAAAGGCCAATGCTCTACGAACTGAGCAACTGTTTAGCACACTCATAATTCCAAATGTGCCCTTTTCTTCCAGAGCCAGTTTCAAAGCCCATCCTTACCAGCGAGCCAGAGGTGGGGGACATCACAGAAAGACAGGACCTGACGCTGATCTGCTCCGTCCTTAGAGCCAGCGCTCCAGTCACGTTCACCTGGTACAGCGTGGACAGCCAAAGCACCTTGTTCTCAAAGACCACCCATAAACTCAGGGACTCCTTCGTGATTAGCGACACAGGCTCTCAGCACAATGGAGGCTACTACTGCTCTGCCTTCAACCTGGCCAATATCACCAAGAGCAGCGAGATTCTGACTGTCGCAGGTGAGAGGGGGGACTATTCAGATAGTGGTTTTACAATGCAAGACAACATACAGAGAAAGAGCAAAGTAATTCCTTCCAACATCTTCTGTGACAATAGAGTATTTTTTCCTTTATTTTTTCTAAATTAAAACCCAAAAATGTTTATATTTTGAAATAATTATATTCTTTCCCGGTGAATAAAAACCCCAGCAGTCTCATCCATGAATTTATCATAACTGGATAGAGGTATTCCTAGAGTAGTGTTCCCCAACCTTTTTGAGCTGTGGCACACCACCAGCATGTAACTCTGCAGCCTTTATTAACAAAAAGTAATTCTCAACAAAGAAGTGCAAAGAAGTATTTCTAATCTTCTATTTATTTCACATTATTTGGACCAAGTTGGTGATAATTGTTGGATAATTTTCCAAGGCACACCAAATAACATCTCAAGGTACACTGGTTGATAAACACTGTCCTCGAGTGAGCCCTCCTCCTGTACGTTGTGGATAATCTCGTCCCCATTGTGATGATAAATTTATAATCCATTGAAATCCATCAATTGTCTATAGATCCACACTTTCTGATAGACAATGGGGGAGGAATCTTGCTATGTGGATCTAGAGGTTAGTTTTGGTCCTCTGGCTCTACTGTGCATGCATCAAGAGGACCGGATTTGGTTAAAATTATATTTTTGAGTGACCAACGTTGAGCATGCACCAACGAGCACAGGCCATTGACTTCAAGCCCCTGAGGACTAGTGTTGAGCTTTAACACTTTCCTATATTTAAATATTCAGGTTAATTTTATGTATGAAGAATGGCTAACAAATCCAACAAGCAGTTCTGCCTTGTGTTAACGGAGCAGGACCTGTGTTTGCATTTCTGGCTGTAAGTCAGACCTAATCAATGACCATGGCTTCTCTTGTACCCAGCTCTGTGTGTTCATTTTAGAGACAGAATCAAGCTGAAGAGTTCAAGTATCTCAGGCTTGTTCACTAGTGAGGGATTGATAGACTGTGGTAAAAGCTCTTGATTCACCGCTCAATCCCACCCCCACATACAGTATAAAGGGGGAAAAGATGAACTTATAGATCCGATGCAAAGGAAGGTTTCTCACCCATCATCTGTACTTCTTTTCCCAAAGTTTCGTCCTTAATCTAAAGAACTTTTTCAAGGGAATGATTTTATGGGGGAGAAACCTTCCTTTGCTTTGACTAATCCCTGTTCGACTGAGAGCTTACACAAACTAATAGACCCGATCCTAACTTGTGGCCTGTTCCCAGTGAAGATGGCAGGCTGGAAGAAGGCACTCATTGCTGTGGGGTGCCTGCTCTTCTTTTTCGCCTTGGTCCTGGTTCTGGTCTGTAGAAAACGTCTGATCAGCATGAAGAGGAAGAGGGCTCCAGAGCTGTCTGTGTGAGTGGCTCTCTTTGATCACCACGGTTGGTTTTAATGAATGACCTGTAGGGTTGAGTGCAACATTTAAGAAAGTTCTTAATTAAAATAAATCTGTATGTAGTAATAGCTTTCAATAAATACTTCACTTCATGCATTTTGTCGGTTTAAAACCAGATTTACCAATGGGACAAGTGTACGTGTTTTTTAGGATACAAGCACTGGCTGTATATTAGGAGTGGACTTTTAAAATATTTATTTTAATACTTATTAAAAAAAAAATTGTTCACTACATATGGGTACAGACAGTTTACCAGAACTTCCGCATCCATTGAGTGGATTCTGACCACTAAACTCGCATGTTGACTACTGCTTATGTATAAATCATGCAAAGTTCCTTTTAAATGTCACAAGTTGTTTCATATTACATTTAAAAGTTCCTTTTAAATGTCACAAGTTGTAGCTGTGATATGTGTTTCTCCCTGTGTCTTCTCAGGAAGTCGGCCGGGACCAAAATAGAGCGGCTGAGTCTCACCCAGTCTGAGGTCACCCACATGGCGAACGGTAAGACGCTCGTAAAACCTCCGGGACATGCTGTACTGGTGGGCTGGGTAACGGAAGCGTGTGCTCCTCTGTGCAGCCACCCCCTCCATGATGGGCAAGAGCGTGTGGAGTGAGCATGTCTCCGGATCTGGTGAGGAGCTCTTGGGCACGTTTATCCAAGCATCATCATAAAATTGTCACTGTGAAATTTCGCCTCTATTTACTGCTTGATCATGCCCTCCCTGGCAGTTTATCACAGAGTGGCTCAAAGCTTTTCTCAGCTAGTGGAAGTGTTTTGCTCAAGGGCTACGGCTGTACAAACTAAAAGCATATTGAATTGCGTTTTTGTTATGAGGCTAAGATTTTATTTATGTTTGTTTATTTTATTTTTTGTTACTATACATATATATATTTCCAGTACACCAATGTTACATATTACATATTACCGTTACTGAGCTGAAGGAGTTTACTTGACTTCAGTGGTAGTCAATAGGTGGTAGAGTGAGTTGGAGCTAAACTTTGTCCATGAGCACTTCCCTATGGGCTTCATTGAGCTAGTGGGTTAGCATTGTCCATCTATATACAGTCTATGTTCGATGCTCATGTGCTCGTCTGAACCCTAACTGGTACACTCATCTCTCTCCCATGTTTCTCAACATTTGGCAATTAACTTTTTACATTTGCAGTGATATAGATACATTTTTATTATTCTATGTATTTATTTGCATCCCCCATTATCTTCCACAAGTGGTCGCTAGTCTTCCTGGGGTCCTCTCCATATTATTATTGCTTATTACCAGTTGTAAAGGAAACATTTTCATTTAAATAATAGCAGTTTTTTAAATTTTCAAATTGAGGCCACTACTGTTGCAATTTGATTTTGATTAATCGTGCCGCTTTACCAAGGACACAACCGCAACAAATGTATGGCAGTATCTTCAATTACATTGTACACGCTATTGTCATGTGGGACTGCCAATAGCCATGATTGTAAAGACTGTGATAATGTACTGTCCAACACAAACAAACAGTACAGTATAAAGTTCCCCTGAGCAAAGTTATGTGTAAGCTGCGCAAATTTACAGCTGGCCAGCATCCTGGGGGTGGCTTGTCTCCTATGTACACACACCACACAAATAGAAAGTTAAACTACACCATAATGTCATGCTGCGTTTTTTTCAGCGTTGGTAACTAACTGTGCCAGGAGAACCCACCATCAATATGCAGCTTTGTTTCACTCGTGGCTGTGTGATGCCATATTGTCAAAATAAACTTCCCACAGTATCATTAAGATGCTCTGGGAAGATTTCAAATTTGCAGTTCAAGGCCAGGCGGCCTAGGTATTTGCAGGAACTGGGGACTAATCACTGTCCCCGGACCCTACAATGTGGGAGGGTAGGGACATTTATGAACATTTATGAACATTTGAACATCTTGCACCCTCTGGACCAATGGCTTCTTTGTGTTCACGCATTTTCTGTGTTTGAATTTTAACGCAATTGGGGAAAGGAAGAGTGGTTTCTGTTGGCAATACAATTTGAAAATAGAAAACAAGTTACTTTGACAATGAAGGAAAAATTGTGGCAAAAAAAGTAAATTATAATTATATTCTAAAATATTATTGTTGTAATTGTATTATTGTATTTATCTATTTTTTTACTGTACTTACTTATTTACTTTTGTTAAATGTTTACACCACTTTGAAATAAATATATTTTCTTCATTCGGTTGATTTTAGATATGACGCTCTACCCTCAGTCAGTGGACAATTCACTAAGGGACCTTGATGAGAAAAGCTGCATTGAAAACTGAAATAAACTGTCCATTTGAATATACCATCACATCGTCCAAATGCTTATTCTGTCTCCTGCAGAGTCGGAGAACGAGAATGCCGTTTCCGCAGCTAAAAGCCCAGAGCTGGACTACGCAGAGGTGCAGACCAAACAGGCTGACCCCAGCAGACGTGAGACCTCCTTTTCCTCTGGTCCAGTTTATTTAGACACACATTGACCCCTGTCTCCTGTGACCGCCCACAGCTCCGGTCAGCAAGGGCACGGACACCACCTACAGCGAGGTTCGCCACTCCACACAGGGTAAGTGACACACAGCTTTTGTTCTAGAAGAAAATATTTGTACAATTATAAAGAAATCACTATTTTGTCCAAAATGTTCACTATTAAACCAGGATAAATGTGAAGGAGCTTTTGAACTTGTTATGATTGTGTTCCACCCTTCCAATGTTTAATATCTATTGATTCTTACATGTTTGAGTACCCAAGTCTGGTCCTGCTTTTGAAGCTTGAAATGTCTGTTTCACCTATCACTTATTCCCACCCATTGCCTTTTACCCCTTTGTGAATATTTCTAATTTATATATATATATATATATATATATATATATATATAATATATATATATATATATATATATATATATATATATATATAATCATTCATTTTGGGTCAAACATGTGGGGTTCAAAAAATGTGTGTACACACTTTTCAACATTAAAAGATGTAGCTGCTGCTGTGATGAAATACAGATACATTGTTTTGCACAGGAAGTGAATTAACCTGCTTTAACTAATAAAGCTAGGGTACCTAACTTTCAAACCAGAACAAATGTAACCATTTTTATGTATCTGAAACAGTTTGGTTTATTGCCATGTGAGTAACAGGAAGTCACAAACTAGGAAATTGCTTTGGCTCTCGGTGAAAACAAATTAAAGCAGAATAAAATCAAGAAGGCATGCATAAATAATAATCTACATACATTTCTTCAGTTTACTGTATACAAGTGCACTAGGTGCACACAATAGACCCGTTAAGAGTGCGGTAGAGTGAAGTAAAAGTGACAGTAGCATAAAGTGACGGTCATAAGGGCAGAGGTCAGTGATGGTTTATTATTATTAAGTGTTCATGAGTCCAACAGCAGAAACTGTTCTTATGGCGGGAGGTTCTGGTCCTGTTGGACCACAGTCTCCTGCCCAAGGGGAGAGGTTGGAATATTCCATGTGCAGGGTGAGAGGGGAAAGCAGTGATACGACCAGCCCGCCCTTGAGCTCAGGCAACGTACAGGTCCTGCAGCGATGGGAAGCTGCGGCCGATCACTTCCTCTGCAGAGCGCACAATGCGCTGTAGTCTCTGTTTGTCCCTGACTGTGGCTCCAGCGAACCACACGGTGATGGAGGAGGTGAGGATGGACTCGATGATGGCCGTGTAGAACTGCACCAACATCTGTGCAGGCAGCTTGGCTTTCCTGAGCTGCCGCAGTAATGCATATGTTTTTGGCCACACCATTAGATCATTTTTTTCCAAACAGAAAAGTGAAAAATAGAGGACTGCCCTCGAAGTGTGACACACAGGGTTGAAAAAGCTCAAGACAGCATGTTGTGGTTTGATTTTTTTACTGAAGATTTACTGAGGATAGCATCATTAGAATATTAAGCATCAGGCTTGGGTTGGCCCAATACTTCAGTGACATCATATCCTGCATTGTGCCGACAGAAAAAAAATTACCTCACTTTTCTGTATTTCCTCCAACGCTTTTTAATCCATGAAAAGCAGGAGCAAGAACCAATCTTCTCAAATCCATCTCAAACAACAATTTTTAAAGGAGTCTGTATTGAGATTATATTTTTATTTTTGCGTTTGCTTTCCTCTGGGTTACATTTTTCTTCAAACATTCTTCTGTCTGGATCTTAAAAAACATTGTGAGCAATTGAAAACCAGCGTCAGGAAATGGCCGGCCTGTAAACACGCTCATTGTTTGCTGTAGATTGGCGCTCTGAGCTTGAGGTGTCCAGGTGCACTTCCTTTTCCTTCAATCAGTGCGCACATCCGCCCTGCTCCAAGTCCTGTGCGCCCATTGTGAGGAGCTGCGGAGGAAACGCGCGCATGCATTGTTCTTGGCTTATTTAGCTTTGAGCGTTGACATGTCAGCCGTGGTGGCGACAGGAGAGAGGTTTGTGTTTGGAGAATGCTTTGAAAGACTGTTTGCTAGAGTCTGTACATGTGTGAGACATGGGGTTATTAGAACTGTATTGGTCGCCAAGTAATCTGTCATGATATACATTACGACATGTAGACGTTATATACAAGAATGACATTTGACATTTATGATTTGGTGCTTAGACCCCAGAGGCAGTGGTGGGGAGGAGGGGAGATACTGCACAAATGAAAGCTGCTGCTTGCTTTATGCATGATATGAAGTCATGAATGGCAGTGCTTGTGCAAATGTAGTTCTTATGTCGTCCAGTCAGAATGCGTTGTACACTCTCTGTGAAGGACCAATACAAATCCAGAGGCTTGTAAAAACAGCAACAAAGATCCTTGGAGCTGAAGTTCTTTCCCCCCAGCTGATCAACGAGTACACCCCACTCTCAAAATATTGTCAGTGATCCCCAACACGTCCTGCATGGGGTGTACCAGAGCCTGTCCTCAGGACGTTGCTTTAGGGCTGTGAGATACAGGACAAACTACTTCAAGCTCTCCTTTGTCCCAACATCAGAGGCCCATATAAATAAAGATCACTAGTAACTAGTCTTATCTTGAATCTCAGATGGTTGCGATATAGAAAACAAAAGAAGGTTGCTCAACCATAATCTGTACTTGAGTTAGCAGGTTTTCCAAAGTTTTGTTCTTCATCTGAACTTTGTCAAGGATATTAAAGCTCAGCCGTGAGTTGGAGATTGGACTTTCTTTGGTTGGTGAGCGACCTTCGTTTGTTTTGAATAATCCCCGTGCGACTGAGAGCCTTTTGGTTGTTATTGTCTTGAGGCTCTGGTGCTATCCATGATTTTCACCTCTGACCATTTGGAATGGGCATCAACTACTGTACCACCAGATGACAGCATATGTCCTTCCTTTCCCAAGAACTGGAAGACCACATCCATGGTTGTAGATGGGCGACTTGGGTCCAATTTTCCCGCTCTGTGTCGGGGAGGGGCAGCCTTGACAGTCCATTTGCATTTGTAGGTGCTGCAGCCTCACAATACTCAATCGTGTAGTCATGTGCAGGACGAGTGCCCAGCGCTGCCTGTGGGCTGCGGCCCTTGAAAGCGTACTCTTCTCTGGACTGAGAATGGAGGTCAAAGGGTGATGGTCAGTTGGTAGTGTGAACTTGTCACCATAAAGGTACTGGTGAAACTTGCGTAAAAACACAAGTTTTGTGGGTAAATCTCAGAGACTCTTCCATGTTCACTGTTTTTAGAAACTCAATGACCCCTTTTCCCCACATGTCACTCATTTATAAAAATAAAAAATAAATCTCTCCAATTAAGTTGCAAGCATTACAACCGCTTGCATCCAGGTGTATATGTGAACATGTTTTAAAGGGTTTATATTGTGGATTTTGCATTTGCTGAATATAGAATAAAGGGGCCCCAGTATTTACGTATTTATCAGGTTGCTGTGGGGGCGGGCACTTCCATACGTAAAACGTGTCTGTATCTTCACAATATGAAAAGTATCTGACCTTCAAATTAATATATTAAGTGTGTTAATCCTTACATGTTTCAATTTAATGGTGTTTCCTTCAAATAGCAGGTAGCTATTTAGTCTCTGCCGTTCCTTCAAATACTATTGATTTTCAAGACTGAAGACTCCAAAAGGAGTAAGAAACCTAAGCTCTACACATTTTACAGCTCCATAATGACCAATGATGGACAAAATACAACATTACAATATTAATGTTATTGTAATTAATGTATTAAAATACAATATTTCACACTTTTTCTCATCAGTGAGGTCAGATGAGGCAGGTGAGGCCTGGCCTTACCTACAATCATGGGAAGAAAAAATAATAAAATGGAAATAATAATACTTGGTCACTATATCAAGTGATTTATGTTTTTGTATTATTTTCATGTAACTTTGCCTTATTTCATTAATTTTTACCTTGAAATCGCAGATTTTCGTCATGTTTTCTCATATTTGACAGAGAGGTGCGCTGTGAGGCGAGCCTCACTTGGGAGACTTTGGCCCTGTTTATACTGAGACGCTGCGCAGACGTTTCCAGGCTATTAACAGAAACGACCAGGCTCCTAATGCAAATTTCTCAGCGTTCACATGAGGTTGAAAAACGATGTAGTTCTAGCGCCCGGCCAGTAGTGGGCAGAGAAACATTACAACACTCACACGACCCCCAGCCCCGTGCCCAGCCCCCCTCTCGGCAGTGTACTCACTTCCTGTGCCAGACCCTCAGAACGCACCAACATCATTCTGCATTTTAACAGCCGCTGTGAAAATGGAAACTGAACCTAGAGCTTCGCGTGGTCTCGTTTGGACGAACGAAGGAGTAGAATTATCCTCCGTGCCGCGCTGGAAGCCCACGAAGCTAGTTTGTCTGCGCGGCGCCATTGTTGTTGATGTTTGTTCTCCGCTACTGCGCATGTCCAAATGTACGTGCGGGGAGCAGCGCGGAGGTGGGGGTCAGAGCAGAGGGGGATTTCACAACTTTTCCCCTCTCGCGGGTGTGAAAAAGCTCCCTGCTGTGCAGCGTTTGAGTTGTCCCACTCAGCAGGCTGGATCTGAACACTTACGTTTTCACCCCCCAGGAACACAGTCTTCGTATGAACGGTTGGTAGCAACCGACATCCAACTATACCGTTTTACTGCCACATTGTCTCCGTGTAAACTCAGCCTTAAATGCCTGTAGTTCACAGAGGCAGGAGCCCGTGCGCTGCTATTGAACAGTTTTCTGTTTAACGCGGTTTACAAAGTTCAAACATATTTCCTTTACAATCAGCATGTCTACAGTTGAGAGGATGGTTCATAAATTGTGTTTTTGACAACAAATATGGGTCTTAATTGCGCTCAAACCACGGCTTGTAATGTCACCAAATGAGGCCAGCCTCAGGGTAGGGGGCGCATGTGAGCCCAGAATTCGATTGCATCCAATTTAATCTGAAAGCTCCTTTCTTGTTCTTCCTCTGCTAAGGGCAGCTACAGGTTTGGCTAAAATACATGTAGCTCATTGTAAGATTATTTAAAATTCACTTAGGGTAATTTTATGCTTCCAATGATGATAGGAATTATAAGGAAGAGAGGTGAAGGGTAAGAAGGTTGATATTAGAAATTGGATGCGCCCGAGACTCGGCTGCAGCGAAATATGAGAGGAGTTTATGGAGGAGACACCCGTTTTGTCTTACTTTTTAAAACTCATTGGACTTTTTTCCAAATGGAGGATTACATATCTACGCTCAAACTATTATCTGGACTTAAACATGAAACTGGCCTGAACTGAAGTGGTCTGTGCAGTTCATGTTTACAGTGAGGTAAGGACCATAACACACAGTTAAATGTGCTTTTTACAAACTTTTGTGTTTGGTATGAGCAAACAATGCGGACATTAAACAAATTGTGAATAAGCCACTCAGTAGGTCTTGTTGATTTATATGATATATGTGTATCTGACTGGGATGAAGTCAGTGCCTCACCAATCACCAACCTCACCGCACGTCACTGTTTCTCATACATACAAATACTTGTCCAGCGTTTTATTTTTATTTTCATTTGTCGGTAAGGTGATGTAATGCGTCCACCCGTCAAATTCCTTATTTATTGTCAATAGTACAAAGTGTGTTCCCATAGCAAAGTATAATCCTCTAGTCTAAAGCCTTTTGTTTGTCTGAGCTTTTCCCCTTCTTTTGTCTGACAGGTGTACCGGAGGCGGCTGGCAGCGTGAGTACACACACCAACACACGCACACATTTACACAATCATAAATATTGCAGTGTCAGGCGTAGAACATCTAACATGATAAAAACAATAGAGGATTAAGCAACAGACAAAATCCCACTGGAGTTGATTTATAATGTCAAGGTCTGTAACAGAAGGCAAACACAAGGGAAGAATGTCACAATTCGAAAGGTACTGTGTGGGTGGAGTACAGATTGAATTGTACTCGAGTTAAAGTTCTGGTACTTCACAAGAATAAGAATGTAAACATGTGCAGTACTTGCTGCAGTATCACGTACACCTGCATAAATAGCACAACCTACAATTTAAAGTGGTTTTTTTTTTCCCACATAGAGGCCGTACTTGAGTATAAGTTACAGGTTTTCATGTAGTAATGTAACACAACCAACTGCTGATGGAATAAAACAAAGCTGATAGATAACGGTTTTAACCAGAGACAACATGATTTAATGAGGGTGTTTTACGCGTGATGATCAAAAACTGGTAATCACATCCAATCTAGTTTGTCTCGAATCCCTTACTGCACTTCAGAGGAAGCTCTAAAAACCTAAATTGGCCACATTGCTATCTAGGTCATAGGGTTAAACAGGCCAAAGAACTTGAAAAAAGTAGTGGCTTATAGTCCAGCAAGTGCTGTATTTGGGAAATTGTATTGTATTTGTACTAGTACGTGTCTGGATGTCATTTTAGATTTATTATTTGAAGCAAGCCATAGAAAATAGAAACTGCTTTTAAAGCCACTCCCTCTCCCATCCTGAGTGGACTATTTCCGTATTCAAAAACAAGCTACTAAACTCTGAAAAATGGAAAATGAGAGTGGTCATAAGCAGCTTCTTGCTTTCCGCACTAGAACATCACCTCGACAAACATCGAATTTGTCCATTCATCCTGAGTATTTTAGCTCTTGGCTAAACGTTGCTGTTTTTGGAAGTTTCCTGTCTTTTATTCTCATCATTAGAGAGCAGCAGAATAACACAAGGGACTCAATTCAGTGCTTGATGACAAAATCCGAGTTTCCCGAGATGAAAGCACAAACAAGTGGGAACACGGACATCTCAACTGGACACTGAGTTCCAGAGGATGTGATGAATGCAGCGTATGTTAAACCCTGTAGGGAAGTAACCTAAGACCTATCTATATTTTGATCATATGCACATACTACACACACATATGTACACGTGGCCAGTGTAGAGCCACAGTGACTGTAACAGGGTTTGTCACAGTTAAAGATTTTTTTTTACCATGATTCAAAATGTCTTCCTCATATTTTCTTTTTGTTATAGTATATAGTATTATTGTATTTTCTCTTCACAATGGTCTCATTAGAAGCACTTCTGTACGCGCCACGTTGAATCACCAGTCTATTTTAACCCCCTTCTAGCCTCTCCTAATTATTTCTGTTGTCACATTGTATGAATTACATCTGCAAGCAATTACGTTTAGTTTTTTTAGTTTTTCCCTGAGGAAATATAGACAGGGGTCAAATTAAAGATAGCTTGATAGATTCCGGCAACAAAGGTGTGATTGTAATGACCTTATTAGACAACGAATAGTGCACATAACAAACAGTCCTTTTAAAACTGTAATTCTTATTATTAATTGTACAGATTATAGTATTATTGTGTGTTTTATTTTTATGTACTTTTTGTTTTTTGTGGGGTCTTTTAGTGTGTTCTGTTTTGAGTACTGTTCTTTTTTTTAATCAATATCATTTATTATTATTATTAGCAGTATACTTCTTATTGTGTTTGTTGGGGAAAAAACAAGTTCAGAGCAACGAAATATTAATGCGACACCTAATACCATATTTAAGGGAAATAAATAATGTTTTCATAATTAGGTATTCTATTCTCTAGCACAGTGTTTTTCAACCTTTTTAAAGCCAAGGCACACTTTTTTCATTGAAAAAATCTCGTGGCACACCACCAGAAGAAATGTTAAAAATAAATACTCTGTAGCCTATATTTATAATATAAAGTCATTCTCATCGAAGTGCTTATATCAGGCCTTGACATTAAAGGAGCAATACACGTTTCTGCAAGGTTTTTTTTTTTTTTTCAATTGGAAAAAGTTAGTCCTGACCAACCAAGCCGCGGCGATCCAAGATGGCGCCGTATTCAAATTAATGGTTTGTGCTCAATTGGGCATGTGCCGATTCGGGTGTTTCCTCCGGGTAGTCTGGTTTCCCCTACCACTAAAAACATGCACACTAGGTTAAATCCTCCAGCTCCGGTAGTCCTGACCAAGCCAAGCATAAACATTTGGAGCGCTGTACTACGGCGACCACTACTCTTGACGTAAGCCTTAGTGGCATCAGGAAGGGTCAAATGCAGAGGATGAATTGCCCTATGGGGATCAATAAAGTGCACCTTTACCTATACATTTATATAAGCGAAACTCGCCTATATTTGGGCATCGTCGGCTCAAATAGTCAGCTAGAGCGTGACTTAGAGCGGGTGCAAAACGAGCAGAGTTTGTGGCACTAAAGTGTGGATTTAAAGAAAACTAAAGGATTTAAGAAGAAAAAAGTTCAGGATGGCAAGGGACACTAAAATCCCCACAAAATCTGACCATTGGGAAAGCTGTAGGTTCTCTGTCAGCTGAGGTTTTAGTTTACATTGAGTTCTATGGGGAACATTTCTGGGTAGCCCTCAAATAGAAAGAGGACCCTCGGTGCATGAGGAAGGGTATTAGTCTCATCACATCCTAGAAACCAAGTGCAGGGAAAATTGCTGCTTGCCAAGCTCTGCCAAATGAGCTCAACAACCTTTTCTGCCGATTTGAATCTGTTGATCCCTTGCGTGTTGTCTTCCCCGAATGTCAGGGTGCAGTCACAGTGACTCAGGAAGAAGTCCGGCAGGTCTTGTGCAGGACCACAGCTCGGAAAGCCGCAGGCCCAGACTGCATTCCTCCACATGTCCTAAAACTGTGCTCCGAGCAACTTTCCCCTGTTTTAACGGACATCTTTAACTTGTCACTCAGGAGCTGTACAATGCCGGTGAGCTTTAAAAAGTCCACCATTATTCCAGTTCCTAAGAACATCTCCAGTGACATGTCTCAATGACTACCGCCCTGTGGCCCTCACGTCTGTTCTTATGAAGACCTTTGAGCGGCTCGTGCTGGACTTAATTAAGAGCCAGATCCGCTCCAGTTTGCTTACTGACAGAACAGGAGCGTTAAGAATGCCATCCCTCGCCCTGAACTCCGTCTACAGTCATTTGGACAGCAGTAAATCTGTGGCGAGAATGCTGTTCATTGACTATTGCTCTGGTTTTAATTGTCTTGTCCAAAGCAAACTGGTTAAAAAACTAATGTCCCTTGGTCTGAGTGTTGCCATGTGTAAATGGATTTTTAGCTTTTTAACTGACAGATCTCAGAGAGTAAAAATAATGTGTCTTTCTGATGTTGTTTCTGTGAGCACTGGGTCTCCTCAGGGATGTATCCTGAGTCCTCTGCTCTTTACCTTGTACACTCACAACTGTGTGGCTTCCTCTGACTCGAACTTGATCGACAAATAAGCTGATGATACCACAATCATTGGTCTCATCAGTGGTAATGATGAATCCTCTAACAGAAGTAAACAATCTCCAACTGAACACAGCAAAAACATGTGAACTTGTTTTTGATTTCAGTCCCAACAGTTATTGACAACTCCCAAGTGCAAATTGGAGAGGAGAGCAAGTTTCTGGGTTTAACTGTCAAATGACTTGAAATGGGACAAAAACAATAATCAGATTGTTAAGAAAGCTCGTCAGCGGCTCTTCTTTTTGCTGAAAGGTAGAGAATTTTCCAATAACTCTTCTGCTTAACTTTTATCGTTGCGCCATTAAAAGTTTGCTTATCAGTTCTGTGACTCTGTGGTTTGGAAACATCACAGCCAAAGATAGGAGAGCTCTAACCAAGGTGCTCCGCTCTGCAAAGTGGACTGTAGGCTGTGAGCTGCCTGTTCTGGAGGCTCTTTATGAATCCAGACTTTTAAACCGAGCTCTTAAAATCATCAATGACTCTTATTGCCACCCAGCTAAAGCCATGTTCCAGCTTCATCCCTTGGGCAGAAGATATCGGTCGCTGAGATGCAAGACTTCTCGCTATGCTAACAGCTTCTTTCCACAAGCTGTTAGGCGTCTGAACAAAGCACTTTAATTGTTGTTTTCACCCCTTGTATCGGTTTTTGTCGTTCGGTGCCACAGTGTCAGCTGTTTCTATTTACAGTGCGAAAGTATTCGGCCCCCTTGAACCTTTCAACATTTTGCCACATTTCAGGCTTCAAACATAAAGATATAAAAATTAATTTTTTTGTCAAGAATCAACAACAAGTGGGACACAATCTTGAAGTGGAACGAAATTTATTGGATAATTTAAACTTTAACAAATCAACAAAACTGAAAAGTGGGGCGTGCAATAGTATTCGGCCCCTTTGCGCTAATACTTTGTAGCGCCACCTTTTGGTGCAATTTCAGCTGCAAGTCGCTTGGGGTATGTATCAGTTTTGCACATCGAGAGACTGGAATTCTTGTCCATTCTTCCTTGCAAAACAGCTCGAGCTCAGTGAGGTTGGATGGAGAGCGTTTGTGAACAGCAGTCTTCAGCTCTTTCCACAGATTCTCGATTGGATTCAGGTCTGGACTTTGACTTGGCCATTCTAACACCTGGATACGTCTATTTGTGAACCATTCCATTGTAGATTTGGCTTTATGTTTTGGATCATTGTCCTGTTGGAAGATAAATCTCCGTCCAAGTCTCAGGTCTTTTGCAGACTCCAACAGGTTTTCTTCCAGAATGGTCCTGTATTTGGCTCCATCCATCTTCCCATCAATTTTAGCCATCTTCCCTGTCCCTGCTGAAGAAAAGCAGGCCCAAACCATGATGCTGCCACCACCATGTTTGACAGTGGGGATGGTGTGTTCAGGGTGATGAGCTGTGTTGCTTTTACGCCAAACATATTGTTTTGCATTGTGGCCAAAAAGTTCGATTTTGGTTTCATCTGACCAGAGCACCTTCTTCCACATGTTTGGTGTGTCTCCCAGGTGGCCTGTGGCAAACTTTAAACAAGACTTTTAACGGATATCTTTGAGAAATGGCTTTCTTGCCACTCTTCCATAAAGGCCAGATTTGTGCAGAGCACGACTGATTGTTGTCCTATGGACAGACTCTCTGTTTGAGATGAAAGTTTGGAGGGACGGCCGGGTCTTGATAGATTTGCAGTGGTCTGATACTCTTCCATTTCAATATAATTGCTTGCACAGTGCTCCTTGAGATGTTTAAAGCTTGGGAAATCTTTTTGTATCCAAATTTGGCTTTAAACTTCTCCACAACAGTATCTTGGACCTGCCTGGTGTGTTCCTTTGTCTTTATGGTTCTCTCTGCGCTTTAAACAGAACCCTGAGAATATCAAAGAGCAGGTGCATTTATACGGAGACTGGATTACACACAGGTGCATTCTATTTATCATCATCAGTCATTAAGGACAACATTGGATCATTCAAAGATCCTCACTGAACTTCTGGAGTGAGTTTGCTGCACTGAAAGTAAAGGGGCCGAATAATATTGCACGCCCCACTTTTCAGTTTATTTGTTTAAAAAGTTTAAATTATCCAATAAATTTTGTTCCACTTCACGATTGTGTCCCACTTATTGTCAAGTCCTTTAAAGTATTGATGTCTGAATGCAGGTTCGACTTGAAAAACCAATGAACACAAGGACGCAGGTTCAACTCAGCTTCAACTTTTTATTGTCATTTGTTGCGTCAGCAGTAGCAACAGCAGCAGGTCGAAAACCTTTGGAGAAAATATACATTTTTAAAAAACGGATTTCATCTAATTACTTTTTAAAGAATGAATTAATACTTTTAAACTAAATTTGTACTATTTTTACCATGTTTTTAACTTGAATTTTATTGTAATTGTTATAATTTTAATGTTTTATTACAATAACTACGGTCCAAATACTTTTAGAATAACTTAATTACTTTTAGTTTTTACAAATTTTATCACAATATTTTAACATTGTATTTTATCATAACACTAACTTTTTAGATTGAAGATTATTTAAACGAATTACAAATATTGTAACTCAACTTACAGAGCCAATCAATTAAATGATACAGAGCCAATCAATTAAACTGATTGTGAGACGTTAAATATTTACAAGAAATTATCTTTATTACAATTAACTGAAAGTTACCCACAATAGATATTAGCCAAATAGAGTTGAGGTGCACCAAACTGAGAAATAAGTAATAATATTACCCCTCACTTGGGTGACTCAAAGTGGTTGAATTAGCCAAAATATGTTACATTCCTGATAGCAAACGAACTAAAACGAGGCCTTTGTCTATTTTAAGCTTTTAAACAGAAATCTCCACTCACCAGTAGCATCTGTGTTCACCTTCATGTATTCAGTTTGTGTGTGTGGTTACACACCTGCACAAACTTGGCTAATTATTTGCCAGACTACTGGTCCCATTCTACCTATGCCTCCATCTACAGGCTAAACTTAAAATAACAAAAGAGATAGGAAGATAGACAGAGCAGTAAGAGTAGATTAGAAAGATGTTTTAGATTTAAGCCGAGATTGACTTAACAGTTGTTGATTCATGACAAAAAAAATAAAAATTATATTTTTATGTTTGAAGCCTGAAATGTGGCGAAATGTTGAAAGGTTCAAGGGGGCCGAATACTTTCGCTGTATGTTCAGTGTATGTGTATTTTATTTTATATTACATTGTATTGTGCTCTTTATTCTGTTGGTGCACACAGAGTACCTTTTTTTGCAAATGTATTCCAATGTGGTTTTTATAATGCACATGGCAAATAAAATGAATCTGAATCTGAATGTGCCCTTCAAATCTTTGACTTCTCTTGCAGCAAGCATCGGTGGAGTACGCCGAGCTGAATCACGACGCTGAGACCCAGAGCGGAGGCGGTAACCATAACGATCACATTGTCCAAGTGGAGCCCAAAGACGAAGTCTGTGAAGAAAACTGTGACATGAGCAAAGACCCGGGCGGAGCCAGAGCAACAACAGGAATAGCAGGAGCAGCAGAATGAAGACAGCTCTCGAGAATGTTATTTATCAAGTTTGCACTGTACATAAATATTTTCTACTGTAAACTTTGGAAGACTAAAATTAAAAAGGTTTTTGAAAGTATATTTTGATGTTTTTGTGTAAGAAATAGATGTGCTTTTTATGTTTTTAGTCATCTGCAAATAGACTGTATATAGCGACTGGTTCTTTAGATGCTAGTTATTTACCTATGTAAACTTGCTCCAGATTCCTGTCCAAGGAACCTGATTGAGTTAGCTCAAATCTGCTTTTACCGCAATGATTAAGGCAAACACTATAGGTGACATCTGTCCTCGGTTCGTCCACTGTATGGTCATCTTTATCCGTCTTTTGGATGTTATAACTTCAACGGCCATTTTTGCAATATGCTTTAGTAGTTATCTCTTTTTAAGTAAAAAAATAATAGCAAAAGTAAGAACAATACATATTCCTTTATTGTTAATGGTCGTTTTTTATGTAGAATAAGAGAAAGCTTGTTTAAAACTTGTTTTAATGACAACAATTTAAAAATGGCCATATATACACAAATTATAAACCTTATTGTACTATAAATTAATCACTATTGGCTTTTATCACACATTCATATTTTTCGCTCTTTGACATTGTGGATATGTGATGTGGACAACTCAAAAAGAACAATAACATTTAATGAATTAGATAGATAGATACTTTAATGATCCCCGCAGAAATGCAGGTGTCCAGTAGCAGCAAACACTACATTGATCATTCCAAAAAGCTAATATTAATCAACCACAGGCATTCGGGTCACAGCAGGAAGGATGGAGTAGTCTCTGGGTGGAGCAGGACAGGTCACAGCAGCAGAGGAGGAGTAGTCTCTGGGTGGAGCAGGACAGGTCACAGCAGCAGAGGTGGCGTAGCCGCTGGGTGGAGCAGGACAGGTCACGAGGTGGAGTAGCCGCTTGATTTGGACCATTTATTCCAAAGTAAAATGTTAAATGCTTCATCAGCATTCCTCTTGGATCTTCAGCTGATCTGCCTGGTTTTGACCATGAATCCTCTCCGCTCCGGTCTGGACCAGTGTAAAACCATGAACACTGTACGGCAGCAACATCTGAGGTGGAAAAAAGCAATAAAAATAAAAATGATAAAGCACAAAACAACAACTGTTTCAGAGCCACTTAGGAATTGCAGCCGTTTTCCAGCTTCTTCAAAAGTCAAAAGTAATTCCCCAGGATACTATGATAAACCATGCAGGCATTTGATGGAAGTTTCAGACAGTACATTGGTCATACACTGTTTTATACACACACTTTGAATGTTTCAGGATGGAGAACATGTAAAGCAGGAGTAATTGTGGGCTTGTAATTCCCCTGTGCACCACTAGAGGACAGAGCTGATGCTGGAGTGATGTGTGGAAACATGGTGCCCTCTGCTGTGAGTTGAGAACAATCTCCCACTGTGGTTCTCTGGAAAAATGACATGAGATACAAATTTAACACAGGATTATAGGTACAATACGGACCACAAATGTTTAACATATGGAAACAAACAACTGACAAAAGCAATGCAGTGCAAAACACTATACCTCTAAAGGACTAAAAGGGAATTTTCTGAGGTTCCTATGATGGAGGACTAATGAAGGAAGACTAGATGTTCCTTTCCATACTGTTCTTTGACATTATTGCCCAATTTGGATCATCCTTGTCCATATGGAAAGGAATTTCCTTCACACATTTATGGTATTCGGATAAAGGGCCGAACATCATGTTCATTAGATTTTAAATTAAGAATAATTCTGCATTAATATTTTTTGTGGCGCTATGTTTGTTCATTTTGGGTTTTTTATAATAAAGAAAGATTAGAAACAGCCAACCCAAATGAGCCAGATTCTGCTCTCTGATTGGATCATTTGCTTGAAAACCTTAAAGATTAGGAGATCCTTTAATTTGTCCCACACAGTGGGGGAGGGTCCCAGCTCAAAAGTGGCCAAAATTACGTGCGCTGACATGCTTGCAATACCACCCCGGGCCGATGGGGGTGGACCCGGAAGTAGAATTAGCCAATGCTAACATACAGGATTGGCAGACCTCTCAAAAACGTCTTTACAGGATGGACCAAAAGTTGGCTCTTGGCCCAAAGCTCCGTTCCACATGTGTGTCAATGCTGAGGGGGTGGATTTTTTTGGTCCACTCTAGTTTACTTGCTGTGAATTTTTGAAGTCTCTCGTTCAAATGAATGGAGTTGCGCCGGCTGACGCATGCGCAGATGCGTTTTTTCACAATTTTCTTGTGGGCGGGACCACTCGCGGCCATTTTGGATTGCTCCAGTAGAGCACATTTTTTGGCCCATTAGTTAGAACGGCGAAGATAGGCGTGACTCTGTCCGTTAATATATACAGTCTATGGTCCCACAGTGGGGAAATTTCAGTGTTGTATCACAAGTTGCAGTGAATATTAATTATAGCACAACTCATTGCACAGAAAAAAAAAAAATCTATCTTAAAGGAGCAGAATAAACATTGATTTGTGGACATCATGCCCACTGGGCTTTTCCACAATTCCAATTATGAAACAGACAATGAGACAACAGGTGAATAGTAATGAACAGCGTACGGTCAAAATCCTAATAATGCAGACAGATAAAGTAGGAAGGTGGAGAGGATAGTTTTCAAGTTACCATATTACTCCCAGCAAACTGACTCCCTACGCAGCTTCACTGACAATGTAAGATTTTTAGCGTTCCCTGAGTCTTACACCTCCCTAACCATATGCTAAATTGAAGAAGACTATTTTAAAGGTACACTGTAATTTTTTGTGCTTTCTAGCGTTGAGATCTTATATCGCGGTCCAAAATACTACGGAAGCCTTTGAGTTGAGGAGCATTGCTATTGACTCAACTCTCAGTCATTCACCAGACTGCCAAGAATTTTTTTTTAACTTTATTTACACACCAGGTGAAGATATACATAGGGACAACTTAAACAGATATATAAACTAAATTTAGGTGTGTGTGGGGGGGGGGGGGGGGGGGGGGGGGGACGCGTGGAGGCGACATGTAAACAAGACCGCGTTCTGAAGCGGCACCCACTGCACAGAGGCTCTACTGAGCCATGGATATATTATAATATATAGATTTACAAACGCGGTGTGAAGAGAAGAGACGCATGGAGGAATAACGTCTGTGGGAACTTAAAACTACAATGATCAAAGAAGCAGGACATATACACAGCCGCGGCAAGACATGACTAAAAGCTCATGTTATCTTAAATATACAGTGCCTTGCGAAAGTATTTGGCCCCCTTGAACCTTTCAACATTTCGCCACATTTCAGGCTTCAAACATACAAGATATAAAAATTATTTTTTTTTGTCAAGAATCAACAATAAGTGAGACACAATCGTGAAGTGGAATAAAATTTATTGGATAATATAAACTTTTTTTACAAATAAAAAAACTGAAAAGTGGGGTGTGCAATATTATTCGGCCCCCTTGCGCTAATACTTTGTAGCGCCACCTTTGTCTGCAATTACAGCTGCAAGTCGCTTGGGGTATGTCTCTATCCGTTTTGCACATCGAGAGACTGGAATTCTTGCCCAGTCTTCCTTGCAAAACAGCTCAAGCTCAGTGAGGTTGGATGGAGAGCGTTTGTGAACAGCAGTCTTCAGCTCTTTCCACAGATTCTCGATTGGATTCAGGTCTGGACTTTGACTTGGCCATTCTAACACCTGGATACGTCTATTTGTGAACCATTCCATTGTAGATTTGGCTTTATGTTTTGGATCATTGTCCTGTTGGAAGATAAATCTCCGTCCAAGTCTCAGGTCTTTTGCAGACTCCAACAGGTTTTCTTCCAGAATGGTCCTGTATTTGGCTCCATCCATCTTCCCATCAATTTTAGCCATCTTCCCTGTCCCTGCTGAAGAAAAGCAGGCCCAAACCATGCTTGCTGCCACCACCATGTTTGACAGTGGGGATGGTGTGTTCAGGGTGATGAGCTGTGTTGCTTTTACGCCAAACATATCGTTTTGCATTGTGGCCAAAAAGTTCGATTTTGGTTTCATCTGACCAGAGCACCTTCTTCCACATGTTTGGTGTGTCTCCCAGGTGGCTTGTGGCAAACTTTAAACAAGACTTTTTATGGATATCTTTGAGAAATGGCTTTCTTCTTGCCACGGTGGCTGAGTGGATAGCACTCTCGCCTCTCAGCAAGAAGGTCCTGGGTTCGAATCCCGGCCGGACCAGGGCCTTTCTGAGTGGAGTTTGCATGTTCTCCCCGTGCCTGCGTAGGTTTCCTCCGGGTACTCCGGTTTCCCCTACCACTAAAAATATGTACAATAGGTCTGGCATGCGCCTCCTGTTCGGCGACCCCGCTCCCATCTCTGTGTGGAGTGAGAGGACAAATGCCCAAAAAATAACAATTGTAAACCGCTTTGTGACTCTGGTCTGTGAAAGGCGGTATATAAATAAAGCTTACTGCTTACTTACACTCTTCCATAAAGGCCAGATTTGTGCAGTGCACGACTGATTGTTGTCCTATGGACAGACTCTCCCACCTCAGCTGTAGTTATCTGAAGTTCATCCAGAGTGATCATGGGCCTCTTGACTGCATCTCTGATCAGTCTTCTCCTTGTTTGAGATGAAAGTTTGGAGGGACGGCCGGGTCTTGGTAGATTTGCAGTGGTCTGATAGTCCTTCCATTTCAATATAATTGCTTGCACAGTGCTCCTTGAGATGTTTAAAGCTTGGGAAATCTTTTTGTATCCAAATCCGGCTTTTAACGTATCTCGTACCTGCCTGGTGTGTTCCTTTGTCTTCATGGTTCTCTCTGCGCTTTAAACAGAACCCTGAGACTATCAAAGAGCAGGTGCATTTATACGGAGACTTGATTACACACAGGTGCATTCTATTTAGGACAACATTGGATCATTCAAAGATCCTCACTGAACTTCTGGAGTGAGTTTGCTGCACTAAAAGTAAAGGGGCCGAATAATATTGCACGCCCCACTTTTCAGTTTTTTATTTGT